GACGCGTGACCACACTAGCATCTAAAATTTATACGTATTAAAGACAGTTTAGCTCATGTTAATTTTTTTTTTTATAATAAATTTATTAATAATAAAAAAAAAAAAAAAAGAAAGAAAAAAAAAGAAAAAAAAAAAAGGAAAAGTTTTTTTGTGTAAATTTGGTTGATTCGGGCTAAACGCATATTATTTGTCGGTAAATGAAATCACGTGAAATTTATTTGATATTTTGCGAATAATTTGTATCTAACTACAACTTATTAATCACTATTGATCCCATTTGTGACTAGTGTCATAATTAGTAAGCATGTAAAAAATTCCACATTTTCTAGACAAGGAATAAAGAAAAATAATGATAAGAATTATCATCTCAAAGGATTTCATTACGTCCTAAAAGAGGCATTTAAAACAAGACGGAAGGGTTCCTGCAACTTGCATGCGTTAACTTTTAATGTAATATTGTAAAGAACGCTTCACTTTTTATTCTATATATATATATATTTTTTTTTTTATTTGTTATTATTTTACTTTTTTAAACAAATTACTTAGTAAATTTAAGAGTAATAAGATTAATAAAAAAAAATTTTTAACAATAGTTCAAAAATAATAAATCAACAACAGTTATTCCACCGGTTATCCAAATTTATCTTCAGCCACAATCTTTTTAAACATCACATTTTTTGGATCGCCTTTCTTTTTTCAACTTACTTGGAAATTGAATTGAATTTTACTAATACAACCCATTGATGAGGAAAATGAATTCCGAACACGTTTGTAACAAAAAAAAGAAAAAAATGCAAGATGCAATATGGCATGTTCAGTAATTTACGCACATGTATCATGTACAGTGTTTATTTGTTGCAAGCTTAAATTCAACACACTTTTGGGATTGTGGGATTTTTTCTCCAAGTTGGCATCATATATAAACATTTTTCGTAAACGGTTGTTTTTTACTCTTGTCGGTCGTTTTAGGAAAATCACAATCAATTTGTTTATGCATGGATTAAATAAAATGAGTCCAACGTTCTTTTTTTTTTGTTGTTTATATTTCGGTTTGTTTGTCCAAAAAAAATAATAATGCAATTCTTCTTTTATTTGTATTTTATTTTATTTTATTTTTTTTTTTTTGTGTTTCGGGTTAAGAGAAAAAGGGATAACAATGGCTAGAATTTTTTTCGACGAATTGCAAATGACGTCAAAGCACAACCTTCTGAATAATACAAACCGCATTTTTCCTTTTTTTTTTTTTTTTCCTCATTAGGTTTTTCATTCTCATGCTCATTGAATCTCAAGTTTTATGGAAAGACTGATCGAGAACGATATTATAATTAGAGTCACATGACCGTCGTGACTCTCGTCAAAAAAAAAAAAAAAAAGAAATTTACCAATGATGTATCGTAGAGAAAACCCTGATAAAAAAACCTTTTCTTTTAAGGCTTAAATATTCATGTCATTAATAAAATTTTATTCGGTTTTGACATTTATCGTTTTATCAAATTCCGTTACTAGAAACGTTTAACTCGAACCAATATAATCTCAACGTGATAATTTTAATTGAACATAATAAATCATAAATTTTTTATTTTATTTAATAGCATAAATAATAGCATAATACATATTAGAATCATAATATTTCAAATATTTCATAATATTTCATAGATTTCCTTAATGAATTTGTCTTACATATATAACTTATGGCATAATACAGTATATCAAATCATACAAAACGAATATTCGAATTAATAATGTATCGGAACCATAAACGAACGATAAAATAACTAACTGGATATAATTAGGGAATAACGTCTCGCAAATACCAATCCAGAGCGCTTTCTCCGTAGAGCTCTTGATCCCTACCCGGCAAATAATGATCACTTGAATTGGATGACTCACTAATATTACAATCATTTGGTGCAGGATCCCAAGTGACGTTTGCATCAGTGAAGGAATGCTTTGAAGAATCCATAACATCCCCCGGGGTCATTATGGATATATACATGAGGGAATGTTGTGGATTTCTTCTAATTCGATCTAATTCCTGTTTAACTTCCCGAGCCAATTTTTTGTACACTTCTTTAACATCTTCTGGCTCGTTTTGCCAGTACGTTGAGGCAAACTTCGAGACTTCGGTCATCGGCAAATGATAGTTCAATCGCAGAAGATGTTTAGTGAACGCCTTACGATAAACAAAAAATGCGTTGGGGCTACGCGCATTGGATCTAATTGTCGGGACAGTCAAATTTTCCTGTGCATTTATTATGGGGGGGAATGGGGGTGGTGGAATATTAAGTGTCAATTGGGTGTCGTCGTTACGTGTAGTCATCATGTA